AATTTTGTATTATAAACATTTGTCATATTATATAGCAAAGTGGCCCATGCTAATTATTTTTGAATGGTCTGTAATTTAATAGAAAAGATGGATGATGTTATAAATATGCTAACATTTTTCTTTCTTACAAGTTTTACAGCAGATTGATTAATAGAAATTTCCACTTTTCATATGGTATTCTACATCCCATGCAGTTTGACTGTCCCGTTAATCAATCTTTTAATTTAGTAAAATAAAAAAGGTGCACTAGCCCGGATTAATAAATGTACTCTCTCTCTCACTGTAATACTTTTCTCAAAAGACTTTGATTCCCTTGGCAACAACAAAACGAGCTCAGCTGAGTGTTGCTTAGTTGCAGAGAGGTAGTTTATATAGGAATGTACCGTACAAACATGTCAGTCAGGAGAAGAGTACAAAAAAAAATTCCATAGAATTACATATGGCGCAGTGAAGATGAGAGTGGCATTATTAAAAAGTGGAGATTCAAGAACCACAGCAAATTTGGAATGAGATACGAAGCCATTTCTAAAGCTTTGTGACTTTGGTGAATCACAGCTAAAGCCATTACCCATGAATGATTGGTGGGAAACCTTCCCAGGAGCGGTGAGCTCGTCAAAATTATCCAAAGAGCGCATCAATGACTCACACAGAAGAGCGCAAGATGCCAAGAACATCTAGGTCTCACTCGCCTCAGTAGAGGTCAGAGTCCATGAGTACCCCATAAAAATGGAAAAAAAAAAAAAAAAAAGAGACTAACCGGTAGAAGTTGTGTCTATAGATGAGCTCCAATACACAAACCACAGCTGAGCAGAAATAAAACTAAGACCCATGAAAAAAAAAATCAAAATAAAAAAAATCTTGATGATTCCGCCAAAATGTTTGGTTCTATTCTCTGGACTGACAAGACAAGAGTGGAACTTTTTATAACATGTCAAGCATTTACATTTTCACATAGGGCCAGGTTGGTTTGGGCAGCTTTTTTCCTTAATCAATAAAATCATCATTTAAAAAGCTATTTTTGTGTCAGATCATCTTTCACTTGATATTGAAATGTGTTTTATAATCTGAAACATAAGTGTAGAAAAAAAAAGTATATTTGATGATGGCATTTGACAAAATCTAATGTCTATTGCTTGTTTCACAATTGGTGATTGAATGTAAAACACTTAGAACGATACAATAAACTTGAACTAAATTGAACTATATGTATCTACACAATGAATCCCTATTGAGATCTTCTATGGCTGTAAGATAATCTACTTTGATTGGTGCTTTTGGCCAAACCAAGCCAGTTTTATTCATATTTCCCAAAATCATGTCCTAGTCTAAGTCCTCAATCCTCATATTTTGGATAGAGTTTGTTCAAAGAGAGACCCATTAACAAAAACCTGTGTAAATGGAAATTATTTAAGGATCCCTTAATTATCACAAATAATGTTTCTTTTTTCCAAATATTTTGCATGTTTAGTTTCTTTCTGAGCTGGTAAAAATAAATAAATGCATTTTTGAGGGGTTTACATATATTTGTGCCTCGTGAACGCTTTTTGACTTGATGTCTAATAAGTCTGGATGTCACTGCTTTAGAGGAATAAAATATTCAACCCAAAATATATGAAATCAATTATGCCAAAATCTTGTTTATTAGTCATCAATCTGAATCAGGTTTGCTTAATAAGCAGTGAAACGTCTAAAACATGAAGCAAAACAAGCAGTGTGGTAAAGTCAGAACACAGTCAGAAAACACTGATCTACACAGCATAAAACACAACCTGACTATTCATCCAATAGCTGTTGGATTAACTACTTTCTAAACAAACAATTTCAGTTTCATTGTTCTGTTTGCTATAAAAACTGATCACTATGATTGATTATGATAGCTATTTGTCAGCATATTTGAAGATTATAGAACATGGCAAAAAATGAATTGTTTCTTTAGCATTATTACAGTTATCAAAGCAAAAACATTTTATTTTCTTGCCAAAATGAATCTTTTGTTCTGTATATACAGAAAGTCAAGCATTTAACGAGTACAACCAAAATAAACTCGGTGAATGGTTACATTGAGACTTAGACTTTTATTCCAGCTAACAAGGATTCACTCTTTTGCTTATGACTAGCCATTTGTTAAAACATTTCCCACACACAATTTAAATGTGGATGTCCATAAACAAACACAAACATACACATTTAAATTCAGCTCTGCTCACTTTTTGAGTGAATTCAGAGCCATAAAGTCAACCCCCGGCGCGGCCTAGATGGGTCACGTACCTCTGCGCTGCGCCGGAGCAATCTGCAATGAAAGCTTTCCCATTTGTAATAAACCGCGGCCTCTCCGAAGAGCAATCCTTGGGAGAATCCAGCTCACTCTCTCTACGCCATAACGGCATCTGTAAAACAAATGAGCGGGGAGGTAATTGGAGACAAACAAAAATTACATTTCCAATAAAGGTTTCTGTCTGGTTGGGCTCCCAGAAGCCCCCAACCCCACTCAACTATTTAACAGCCTTAATATACCCTCTCATCAGCTTTCCTGTTGAGAAGTCGCTCGAGAGGAGTTATCTGAGCACAAACAGAGCTCATCTAATGTGAACAGGTTAATGTTCTAGTGGTTGAAGGATCTTGGGCAATTAAAAGTGGAAAAGGTGGTCTGGATTTGAAAGAATAGTAAGACTTTGGTTGAACTATGCTGCACTGCAGTGGTAGTTTTGGAAATATTTGGGCTTCATCACGCAGTGTACGTGCTATCAAAAGATTCTAAAGACCGTTTTAAAATGTCAACTCCTCAATAAATGTGTCTTTCCCTCAAAACCCCAATAACTGTCACCCCTAAAACACATCTAAGTCATGACAGTTAAGGAGGAAATTAGTAAACCCCTGTTTTGCTGCGACTGCGTTGGTTCTAAGTAGGGCTAGACAAATAAATCAATAACAATATATATTGCAATAGACACATTTGATCAATATCAATAGTTAATACCGCTGATACAATATTCAATACATAGAATATTCACTGAACTCCAATCCAGAACCACACAGCATTCTGGGAGATGTACACAACCTCTTGCAGCTAGCTAAGCAAGGTGGGTGGCATATTCCAACTCACTCACTTGTTACCTAGCAACAACAGGTTAAGTAACTTACACAGCAGCAGTTTCAGGTTTC